GCAGCTCTTTCCTTCCTGAGCTCTCAGGGTTCCTCGTGGTCAATCCTGGCTGCAAAACATGAAAAATGAATGATGGCAGGAACGCAGGAAGAAACTCATAGACAAGCAGCGTAGGAGGCTCCACAGCCCCCTCTCAGCAATGCATGTACCAAGCAACAAAACACCAGTAGGATGTAGAAGGTCCAAATAGTAAACCATTTCCATCACATCCATGTAGCCATCCATCCCTGTATATTGGGAATGAATGTTGGAGATACATTCATTTACATACATGGTACATTTACAAAAATTAACCCTACTTACTTTGTTCATCAAGCAAATCTCAATCTATTTCAGAGAAATCAAATCACATAGCATGTTTCTGATCATATAATTGTGCTGGAAGTGAATGATAAAAAGCTAACCACAAATTCTCACATGCCTTGGAAATTCAAAGTGTCCTTAAAAGTAAAAGGTGAAGCCAGCTGGACTTCCTGGGTTAGTGGGGACTTGGAGAGCTTCTGTGCCCAGCTAGAGGATTGTAAATGCACCAATCAGTACTCTGTAAAAATGCACCAATCAGCGCTGTGTGTCTAGCTAAAGGATTGTAAATGCACCAATCAGCATGCTGTAAGAATGCACCAATCAGTGCTGTGTGTCTAGCTAAAGGATTATAAATGCACCAATCAGTACTCTGTAAAAATGCACCAATCAGTGCTCTGTGTCTGGCCAGAGGATTGTAAATGCACCAATCAACACTCTGTAAAATGGACCAACCAGCACTCTATAAAATGGACCAATCAGAGCTTTGTAAAATGGACCAATCAGCAGGAAGTGGGTGGGGACAAATAAGGGAATAAAAGCTGGCTAGCCCCCAGCCACCAGCTGCAATACCCTTCCACCCTTTGGAAGCCTTGTTCTTTTGCTTTTCACAATAAATCTTGCTGCTGCTCACTCTTTGGGTCCACACCACCTTTATGAGCTGTAACTCTCACCACGAAGGTCTGCAGCTTCATTCCTGAAGTCAGTGAGACCAGGAACCCACTGGGTGGAACAAACAACTCCGGACGCACCACCGTTAAGAGCTGTAACACTCTCTGTGAAGGTGTGCGGCTTCACTCCTGAAGTCAGCAGGACCATGAACCCACCGGAAGGAAGAAACTCCAGACACATTTGAGCATCTGAAGGAACAAACTCCAGACACGCCATCCGAAATTCCCAGTTCTACTTTGTGGCACAAGGTTGTGTGGTCTTAAATCATCCCTAATCTACCTAGGCATTTTAACATCTGAAACGGGGTAATGTTGTCACTTATCTATGTCATCTTACTGTCTGTGAGCGTGGACTTTAATTTTTAAACCCTAATGTGGGGAAGAAAACAAGATGACTCTCATGATTGACCTCCCGGGGATGTCCAAGGAATCTGTGTATTTCAAGAGACAAAGTTCATCAGCTTCTCTCCTGGGGGATTTGGCCACAATACCCAGAGGGCTTGGCAGCACCAGGAGTGATGGGTGGAGAGTGTCAAGCAGGTGGGCAGGACCCAGGGGCCTGGTGACCAGGAGAGACACCCCGACTGGCCATCAGCTTTCCTAGCCTTGTCCTCAGCTAAACTTCCTAAAGGCCTTCTTCTGCCTAATCACACAGAGTGCGACCAAACTCACTCAGGCCTCTGGCAGCCTAAAACCACTGCTCTAAATCCCTTCACCATTTGTGATGACACGAAGTTATTGTAAACAGGAAATATTCTAACACTGTTGTAAATGGAAAGCCAGTGCCTTTACCATAAATAAACAGAAACCCTAAGAAACAAGCAAAACAAAACAAAAACAGGGACAACAAAACAATGGAATTAAATTCTATTTGTGTGCTGTCACCTGCATAAAGAGCCCTGGATTTGAGTTGTCTCGGTTGTAAAAGGAAAGACCAAGTAAGGGGAGTTGAAGTCAGATTAGCCCAAAAGTGAAGGGGAGACCCGTGATGTCCATGAAGTGTTGCGGGGTCACCTTGATTATAGCCCAAACAGAGAGAGGGAAGGGAAGAAGTGAACGGTTTGGACCTTCAGACAAGGAGAAGCCATTCATGTAGCTCAGGAAACACCTCCTCAAAGCCAAAGTCAACCTCCCTTGCAGGTGGGCCCTTCTTGGTCCGTTGGAGGCTTGACCAGGAGCCCTTGGCAGGATGAGGCACCTTGGTTGTGAGATCAGCTTTGCTGGTGACCAGCTGTGCAACCTTGGGCTGGATTCCTTCTGTACAACTGGAGAGCTAATGGCTGTGTGCAAAGACTGTCAGAAGACAGCAGGAAGTGGTTGAGCAGCTGTGTACCTGAGCATTGTAACCTCCCAGGGGCATCTTTCTTCCCAGAACTGGCACCCTGGGAGGCCCTTGGCCACTAAAGGCAGTGATGATGATAACCACAGCCCCTCTTGTCACCACTGTGCTAAACACAGCACTTTGCAGGTGTTATCTCCTGAGATCCTGAAGTACCATCACTGTCCCCTTGCACAGATGGGGATCTAGGTTCAGAGTGGCTGGTGGGGGGTGTATCCAGGCAGAGAAACAGATCTGGGGGAAGTTGATTCTCGGACGGGACATTAGGAGAAGGGGAAGCTGGGGCTGGAGACTCCCCAGGAAGATGGAGCCACAGAGATGCTTTGCCCAGGACCCAGCGTTGCCCTGGTCAGCCCTGCTCAGATGAGGCCCAACCAGCTGGCTGTGTTCCCAGTCCAGTGCCTCCACCTGTGAGTGAGCGTCAGTCATTGCGGTGATGATGGTGATATAGAATGTTCATCATAGCATTATTGTGAGGCAGAGAGCACCAGCCCACTCAGGCACAGGACATGGTCCTGGGGGCACATCTGTCTTTCTCTCTTGACCTCTAGATCTACTAAGCACCATGCAACACCCCCACTCTTAGCATACCCAGACAGGGTCCCCGGCCCAACCTTGTGCCCCTATTCCCAGAGTCACCCAACCCTGGCCTCTCTCTGGCATCTCAGCGCCCCGGCACAGCCCTTCTGTAGGCCCTGGAGGGGGCACATCCCCAGCCCTGGGTTTGAAACCTGGAAAATACCTTCTTCCAAGAGAGCTCAGAAGGGCCAGGTCATGCCTGGGTCTGTTCTCTCCACTGGCCCCAGGAGTGCCCTCCGGAGTGCCACGTCTGGTTGTACTGTGGGCTGGGGTCTGGGAGTGTGTGCATGTTTGGGTGTGTAAATCTGCATGTAAGCATCTGTGCGTCTGAGTGCCTATGTCTGTGATTACGTCTCTGTGTAGCTGTCTCTGGGTGGCCCTGTGTTTTTCTCTATCTTTGTATGCATTTGGGTGTCCTTTTTTCTTGAGTGTGTGTTGGTTGTGCAAATCTGTTTGTGTTTCTGATTGTGTAATGTGTGTGTCTCTGGCATGTGTGCCCCCTGTGGGAGTGTCTGTGTATGTCTAGCTTTTGTGTCTTTATGTGTTGAGGTGTGTGCATGTGAATTTGCTTCTCCTTTGGGTGCCCCTGATTGTGTCTGTATTTGCGTGTTTATTTTTCTCATAGTGTCTGTGTTCTATGTCTGATTCTCTGCCTGTAGGTCTGTGCCAGTGTGTGTGCGTGTGTGTGTGCACGTGCGCACGTGGGTGTCCATTGTGTGTAGAGTCAGCCCTGTGGGGCTGTGTCTCATGGTTCTGTGCCTGTATCTGTGTCCTCCTGGTGTGTGTGTGTGTGCCTGTCCATGGGCCATACTCCTGAGTGCCCAGGTGAAGCTGGGGCGGTTCTGTGCCTCTGTGCCTCTGTGTTTGTAGTATCTGTTTATTTCCCTGTGAGTTCCTGGTTGTGCACCTTGGAAGTTGGCAGTCACAGAGAGGCCTCTGCAATGCTGACCTCCAGAGGTGGGTGAGAAGTGGCCAGTATGTGCTTCTCTCATCCCCAGGCTGGGCCTTCTCTGCCTCCTGCTTTTCTGAGCCTCTGGTGGCCCCCTGGTGGTCCCCCGTAGGCCCCAAGGAGGGATGGCATGAAAGAGTCAGGTCACAGGACTGTGACCAGGAGTGTGAGGAGGACTCTGGGTCCCCAGAGAGGGTTATGTTGAAAGAAGGAAGATTGTCTGTGGTGGGGGGATTCTGAGTTGGAGGGAGCCTGGGCCCTGGGAGGGTGAATAAGTGGGGTCCTCTAGGAAGGGCTCAGGGACAGAGCTCCTGGGTCACTGGGAAGGTCTGATGTGTAGGTGCCTATAGGGGATAGCTAGGGGCAGGGCTCCTAGGCCCCAGGAAGGGCTAGAGGAGTGCTGGGTGCCCAGAGGCTGGGGCCCTCACTCACACATGCCAGGTTTAGGCTGGGGCACATGTGCACATGGGCATCATTGGGGGACACAAAGGACCATTGGGTGGGGAAGGCAGAGGTGGTCTGGCAGGCAAGTATAGTCCCCAGGCCAAGGCTGACCACCCTGGACATCTGGCTGCCCTGGCCTTGTGGGGGCCTCGCGGCCAGGGCACAGGCACGTGCCTGGAGCCACATGGGGTGCACCTCCTGGACCCCTGTGTCCCGGCCATTGAAGGGTGCTTAGGGCTACCCTGAGAAGCTGGTGCCAGGAGGGAGAATCTGGTCCCAAGATATTTCAGGTTGTGGATTAGGGAGAATTACAGGGGGAGGGCATTTAACACAGGTTCATTCCCAGAATAAATGCTCCACACAGGGTATTGTCGAAATTAGTATTTTATTACCTGCAACTCCAATCTGAGTACTCACCTGGGAAATTCTAAAGACACAGAGAGGACTAGGAGGAAGCAGAGTAACTGAATGTAATTTAAAAGAACAAAAACAGGCCGGGTGCGGTGGCTCACGCCTGAAATCCCAGCATTTTGGAAGGCTGAGGCGGGTGGATCACCTGAGGCCAGGAGTTCAAGACCAGTCGGGCCAACATGGTGAAACTCTATTTCTACTAAAAATACAATAATTAGCTGGGCTTGGTGATGGGCACCTGTAGTCCCAGCTACTCAGGAGGCTGAGATGGGAGAATGGCTTGAACCCAGGAGGCAGAGGTTGCAGTGAGCCAAGATCACGCCACTGCAGTCCAGCTTAGGCAACAAGAATGAAACTCTGTCTAAAAAAAAAAAAAGAAGAAGAAAAAGAAAAGAAAAACATTGGAATTGTGGCACTCCTGATACTTTTCCAAATCAATTCTCTCAATGTCCCATCATCACCCCGCCCTAGTGGGGAGACTGAAGTGGTCAGGGATTTGCTCAAGGTGCACAGTGGGTTCTGAGTTCACTGCTGATTACATCTGACCAAGCTCCCTTTCCGAAGTTCACGTTGTTTAATCTTTCCAGTGACGGTTTTCAGCAGCTCCAGGATAAACTCCACCTGGTTAAGTATAAGGGAAATCCACAGTGACTTAGTCCTGTTGTCATTTCCTACCAATTCCCTACCCTCCTCCTCTGCCCCTCTACAGTCTCCCACACAGGCTGACACCATATGGTGGCCTTAATGGAAGCCACCAGCTGTGTCAGGTTCTCCCCTTGGCCCTCTGAAGGTGGATGTAGCCATGTGCTGTGACTCAGGAGCTGTGATTGGAAGTGAAGCGTGTCACCTCAAGACAGAAGAGTTGGGAACCACTGAGACTGGCCACCCTCTCCTCCATCTCTTAGAGCAGCTGACAGATTCTGCATGGAGGCTGCTCCTTTATCCTGTTGGTGGATGAGGGGATGTGAAGCACAAGGCCCAGCAGAGCCATGGTGGACGTGCAGCATGAGCAGGACAAGAACCTTCAGTGTTGTAAATTTCCATTGTCTGGGGCTGTTTGTTACTTACAGTGATATCTAGCCCATTGTACCAGGCATGCACCATCTATTTCATGGTCTGTGAAGCAGACTAGCCTACCCTGCAAACATGACTGGTTGTCAGACACGTAGGTTTCAGTTTCAGCTCTTCCTCTTATTGACTGCAACCTCGGGCATTTGACTTTGAGTCTCTGAGCCTCAGTTTTGTTTTTGTAAAATGGTTTGCTATGCTATCTCAGGTTGAGGAGAGGATTTAATGAAATAAAAATGCATGTAAAGCATTGAGCCCAGGGCCTGGCACACACAGTGAGTACTCAATCAATGTTAGCCATATAGTTTCATAATGTGTATTCACTGTCAGTACTCAGACAATGTAGCAAAGTATTACAAAGAAGTAAGTGTTCACTTTTTGGTGTATGTATCTCTTTGCACTTTATTTTCAAACAGATAATGCCACGTATACTTTTTCAAAGTATGATTTTTTTTATCTTAATATGTATTGAGATGTATGTTAAATATAAAAAAATCTGAATCATTATTTTAAATTGCAGGATTATATTCAATTTTATGAAAACTTTATTTCTCTACTGTTTGACTTTTTGTAGGTTGCACAAGGCATTGAATTAAAATAAACATATCAGAATGCATTGTATTTATAAAGATAAATATCATTCTATTAATTTTTGTTTGTTATATGTATGTATATATTTTTTCAGTTGCAAAACAGAACATATTTCTTCCTATGAATCGTATTAGAAAAAGTTTGGAAGCTGCTGATTTGGATTTCTTTTTTAATGTTTACAGGATTATAAATAACCTTTTAAAAAATATCCTTGGGCACTTGACTGATTTTTGCCTTTAGGTTAATATGCCAGCAATGATTCCTTTTGGGTTTCTGACACAAGATAGCGATTTCCATCCAAATAAATCAACCATGCCATCCCATCCCTAAGCCAAACTACTTCTTCTGCAGAAGAAAAAGCCAGTACTGTGACTGCCTAAGCTTCCCCCTTGACAACCACCCTATGAGACATGGGGCAGGAGCACTGGGAGCTGTTCAGGGGCACCAGACCCCTTCCATCTGCCCTCACTCACCTTCCTTGGGGACTTGCATGAGACTGTCACTGACTTTACATGCTGCTGCAACTCCTTGGTCAGCTGGTCCTTGTCACGGGACAGAAACTGTGGTGTCAGGACAATAAACACCTTCACCACCTGCAGAACGAGGGTAGAGGCTTACAGTGAGCGCCAACCTATTACACAGCTTAAAAAGTCAATATTGGTCCGGTGCAGTGGCTCACACCTGTAATCCCAGCACTTTGGGAAGCTGAGGCAGGCAGATCACTGGAAGTCAGGAGTTCAAGACCAGCTTGGCTAACATGGTAAAACCCCATCTCTATCCAAACTACAAAAATTGACTGGGTGTGGTGGTGCACACCTGTAGTCCCAGTTACTTGGGAGGCTAAGGTGGGAGAACTGCTTGAGCCCAGGAGGCAGAGGTTGCATGAGCTGAGATTGTACCATTGTACTCCATCCTGGGCTACAAGAGTGAAACTCTGTCTCAAAAAAATAAAATAACAAGAAAATATAGAGAATTTCACCAAATACCTGGACTTTATTTTTTAAGGATTAAAAAGATGTATAGAATTGAGAAAAATAACAGAAATTTAAAGTCCAGTAGGTGGATATAACAGCAAATTAGACAAAACAGAAGAGAGGATTAGAGAAGTGGAAGTTAGGTTAGTAGAAAACACTGAAATTGAAGGTTAGAGAGAGAGAAAAAGATGGGAAACATAGGAAAGTTAACAAGAGACATGGAACATATCAGACAGGTCTAACTTGTGAGGAATTAGAGTGCCAGAACCAGGAAAGGAAGTGGAACAGTACTTCTATTTAAAGAGAAAATGGGGTTGGGTGCAGTGGCTCACCCCTGTAATCCCAGCACTTTGGGAGGCCAAGGTGGGCAGATCACTTGAGGTCAGGAGTTTGAGACCAGACTGGACCAGACTGAGACCAGTCTCTATCTTCTCCATAACAGGAGGTAGAGAGCGCTTCTACTAAAAATACAAAAATTATCCGGGCATGGTGGTGGGCACCTATAGTCCCAGCTACCCTGGAGGCTGAGGCAGAAGAATTGCTTGAACCTGGGAGGGGATGGTTGCGGTGAGCCAAGATCGCACCACTGCACTCCAGTCTGGAGCACAGAGTGAGACTGTCTCAAAAAACATAAATAAATAGGCCGGGCACTGTGGCTCAGGCCTGTAATCCCAGCACTTTGGGAGGCCAAGACGGGTGGATCACGAGGTCAGGAGATCAAGACCATCCTGGCTAATATGGTGAAACCCCGTCTCTACTAAAAATACAAAAAATTAGCTAGGCATGGTTGTGGGCACCTGTAGTCCCAACTACTAGGGAGGCTGAAGCAGGAGAACGGCGTGAACCCGGAAGGCAGAGCTTGCAGTGAGCCGAGATCAGGCCACTGCACTCCAACCTGGGTGACAGAGCAAGACTCCGTCTTTGAAAAATAAACAAACACACGGTGCGGTGGCTCACACCCGTAATCCCAGCACTTTGGGAGGCCGAGGCGGGTGGATCACAAGGTCAGGAGATCCAGACCATCCTGGCTAACATGGTGAAACCTCGTCTCTACTAAAAATACAAAAAATTTGCCGGGTGTGGTGGTGGACGCCTCTAGTCCCAGCTACTTGGGAGGCTGAGGCAGGAGAATGGCGTGAATCCGGAAGGCAGAGCTTGCAATGAGCCGAGATCACATCACCGCACTCCAGCCTGGGGGACAGAGCGAGACTCCCTCTCAAAAAAAATAAAATAGGCCGGACGCAGTGGCTCACGTCTGTAATCCCAGCACTTTGGGAGGCCCAGGGGGGCGGATCACGAGGTCAAGAGATGGAGACCATCCTAGCCAACATAGTGAAACCCCGTCTCTACTAAAAATACAAAAAAATAGCTGGGCGTGGTGGTGGGCACCTGTAGTCCCAGCTCCTTGGGAGGCTGACGCAGGAGAATGGCGTGAACCCAGGAGGCGGAGCTTGCAGTGAGCCAAGATTGCACCACTGCACTCCAGCCTGGGAGACAGAGCGAGACTCCGCCTCAGAAAAAAAATAAATAAATAAAATAAAATAAATAAGTAAATTTTAAAAAAGCAAAAATGGTCCCCCACAAATCTCAAAGCAAATAAAAGACATTAATTTACAGAGAGGAATCTCTACAAATCCTAAGCAGGCAAATAGAAAAAAAACATGATTAAAAAGATAAAAGGAAACATTCAAAAGCAGCCAGAGGAGAAAAAAAGACATATTACTTTCAAAGAAACAACAATAAGTGGGAGAAGGACTTTTCATCAGAAACTACAGAAGCCAGAACCCCATGGAATGACATTTTTCATGTTGAAATGAAAAAAATCTGCCAACATAGAATTCTACCTACTGAAATATACTTCAAAAATAAAAGTTTAGGGTTCTAGAAAATGGCAGCAATGGCGATGATGTCATTTTTAAATCTTCCCGCATCATCACATACCAACGGAGCAAGTAGGTAACAAAACCAAAAACTCATGGGCAATAACACAACTACATGATAAAATCCTAGCAGAGACAAAACAAGACTTCCAGCAAGACTCCTCAGGAAAAAAGACATAACGTCCTATTTTGAGACCAAAAAGAAGATATCAATTAAATCCTACAGATATTAAAAATAAAATAATATTATAAACAACTTTATGTCAATAAAGTTAACAGCTAGATGAAACTGACAAATTTCCTCAAAAGACACAAATTACAAAAATCCAAATTATCCTATATCTATTAAAGAAATTAAGGCAAAGAGAATCTACAGCTAAGTTATTAGAATGGATAAGAAGATTTAGGCCTTGTGCAGTGGCTCATGCCTGTAATGCCAGCATTTTGGTATTCCGAGGTGGGACGATCGCTTGAGTTTAGGAGTTTGAGACCAGCCTGGGCAACATGGTGAAAGCCCATCTCAAAATTTTTTTTTTAAAAAAAGAATGGATAAGAATATTCAGCAAGAATGTGGGATAAAAATATAAAAATCATTCTCATTTCTAGCAGCCACAAACAGAAAAGACAAATTTTGAAAAGATACCATTTATGGTTGCAATAAAGGATACAAAATGCCTAAAAATAAATTTAACAAAATATGTGTAAGTGGAAAAAATTATATATCTTTATGAAAGTTATTAAAGAGGCCAGGCATGGTGACTCACACCTATAATGCCAGCACTTTGGGAGGCCGAGGCAGGTGGATCACCTGACGTCAGGAATTCGTGTCTAGCGTGGCCAACTTGGGGAAACCCTGTATCCACTAAAAACACAAAATTAGATGGGCATGGTGGCATGTGCCTGTAATCTAAGCTACTGGAGAGGCTGAGGCAGGAGAATCTCTTAGAACCTGGGAGGCGGAGGTTGCAGTGAGCCAAGGTCGTGCCATTGCACTTTAGCCTAGGCGACAGAATGAGACTCTGTCTCAAAAACAAAACAAAAACCAAAACGACAAGAAAAAGAGAAAAAACATTAAAGAAGTCTTAGGCAAAAGAGACACAGGCCATATTCTAGCTTTTATTTGAAGTTCAGGAGTACATGTGCAGGCTTACTATATAGGAAAACTCGTGTCATGGGAGTTTGTTGTACAGATTATTTCATCACCCAGGTATTAATCCCAGTGCCCACTGGTTATTTGTTCTGCTCCTCTCCCTCCTCCCACCCTCCATCTTCCCATAGGCCCCAGTGTCTGTTGTTCCCCTCTATGCATCCATGTGTGCTCATTATTTATCTCCCACTTCTACATGAGAACATGCAGTATTTGGTTTTCTGTTCCTGCATTAGTTTGAAAAGGATAGGGCCATATTCATAGATTGGGATATTCAGTCCATTGAAGATGTCAGTCTCCCAACTGATTTATAGCTATAATGTGTACTATAATTCAAACAAATACTAAGGGTTTGTCTTTTGTTTTTTTGTTTTGTTTTGTTTTTTGAGATGGAATCTGGCTCTGTCGCCCAGGCTGTAGTGCAAAGGCGTGATCTCAGCTCACTGCAACCTCCGCCTTCCAGGTTCAAGTGATTCTCCTGTCTCTTACCTCAGTCTCCCTAGTAGCTGGGATTACAGGTTCATGCCACCATGCCTGGCCAATTTTTGTATTTTTAGTAGAGACAGGGTTTCCCCCTGTTGGCCAGGCTGCTCTCAAACTCCTGACCTCAGGTGATCCACCCGCCTCGGCCTCCCAAAGTGCTGGGATTACAGGAGTAAGCCTGTAATGAAATTTGATAATCTATTTTAAATCTTATTTGAAAGAGCCAAAAGCCAAGATACTCTTGAAGAACAAGATGGGTAAGTTACTTTAGCAGACGTCTAGCAGATAACTAGAAAGCTATAGTAATTAAGACAGACTGGTTTACACAATTACACCGTGATAGACAAATTAAATAATGACACAAAATAAAGAGGCCAGAAACCAACTCTCTTTTACATGGAAATTGGATTCATGACTGAATTGTAACTGCAGATCTGTGAAGAAATGATGGGCTCTTCAGTAAATAGTACAGGAAAAATTGTTATCCTTATGGGGGAAAAAGGAAGTCAGAGCTCTACCTCATACCATAGAAAAAATTTGATTTTGAATACTTAAATGTGAAAAAATAAAACTGTAAAAATTTTTAGAAGAAAATATCAATCACGAGAATGATTTTTTTTTTGAGACGGAGTCTCCCTCTGTCACCCAAGCTGGGGTGCAGTGGTGCGATCTCGGCTCACTGCAACCTCTGCCTCCTGGGTTTAAGTGATTTTCCTGCCTAGGCCTCCCAAGTAACTGGGATTACAGGCACACACCACCACACCTGGCCAATTTTTGTATTTTTAGTGGAGATGGGGTTTCACCATGTTGGCCATGCTGGTCTTGAATTCCTGACCTCAAGTGATCCACCCATCAGCCTCCCAAAGTGGTGGGATTACAGGCGTGAGCCACCATACCTGGCCTTCCAAGAATGATTTTTTAAGCTCAGAAGGTGAAATAAATACAGAAAAATGCTGATGAATATAACTACTGCATTTGTTTGCTAGTGCTGCATAACCAATCCTAATTTAGCAGCTTAAAGTCATCTGTTAGCTTGTGGATCTGTAGGCCAGAGGCCCAGGTGTGGTGTGGTTGGGCTTTCCACTTGGGGTCTTGCCAGCTTCAATCAAGGTGTCGGCAGGGCTATGTTCTCACCTGAAGCCCTGAGTCCTCTTTCATGCTCACATGCTCGTGGCAGGTTCATCTCCCTGAAGTTGTGAGATGGGGTCCTTGTCTGGGTCCTTGTCGGCTATCAGGCAGGACCTGCTCTTAATTCCTGGAGGGCATCTGCACGTAACCTCCTCCATCTTCAAAGTCAGCCTTGGCCAGGCACAGTGACTCACTCACAGCCTATAATCTCAGCACTTTGGGAGGCCAAGGCATGCGGATCACTTGAGGTCAGGAGTTCGAGACCAGCCTAGCCAACATGGCGAAACCCTGTCTCTACAAAAAAAAAAAAAAAAAAACAAAAATTAGCTGGGCTTGGTGGTATGTGCCTGTAGTCCCAGCTACTCAGGAGGCTGAGGCATGAGAATCACTTGAACCTGGGAGGCAGAGGTTGCAGACAGTGGAGATTGCACCAGTGCACTCCAACCTGGGCCACAGAGTTAGACCCTGTCTCAAAAAAACAAAAAACAAACACACACACACATACACACACACACACACCAGCCAGATTTGCTTGCCAAGTTTTCCTGCAATTTGAAACTCTGAAGTTTTCTGTCTCTGGTCCCTAGACGCCAGATTGAAGGGATCATGTGATGAGTTTGGGCCCACTTAGATAATCTCCCTCTTGATTAACTCATATACAACCAATTAGTAATCCTAGTTACACCTGCAAAATTTATTTTGCCATATATGCAGCATGATTACGGAAGTGACATCCTGCTATATTCACAGGTTTTGTCCACTCTTCAGGGGGACATCATAAAAGGACGAGGGGTAGTGAGAATTCTGCCTACCACAGTTACATTATAATTAAAAACTTCTATTCTTCAAATGACACAATAAGGAACTAAAAGGGCAAGCTACAGAATGGGATGTAAGATTTACAAAACACATAATTGATAAAGGAGTTGTTTCTACAATACACATTTAATTTACTTATTTAGAGAGGATGTCTGCCTCTGTCACTCATGCTGGACTGCAGTAGTGCAATCATAGCTCACTGCGATTTTCACCTCCTAGGCTCAAGTGATCCTCCAACCTCAGCCTCCCAAAGTAGCTGGGACTACAGGCTCATGACACCATGCGCAGTTACTTTTTATATTTTTTGTAGAGACGTGGGTCCCAGTATGTTGCCCAGGCTAGTCTCGGACTCTTGGGTTCAAATAATCCTCTGGCCTCAGCCTTGCAAAGTGCTGGGATTACAGGTATGAGCCACTGCATCTGGCAAAGAATATATATTTTAAATCTTACATGTTAATAAGAAAAAAGACAACAATAGAAAAAGAGACAAATGAAATAAACATATTTTCACAGAAAAAACTCAAAATATCAATAAATGTATGAAGACATGTGTATTTTTTCTTTATTTTATTTATTTATTTTTTTTTGAGATGGAGTCTTGCTCTGTGGCCCAGGCTGGAGAGCGCAGTGGCATGATCTTGACTCTCTGCAACCTCTGCTTCCTGGGTTCAAGCAACTCTCTTCCCTCAGCCTCCCAAGTAGCTGAGATTACAGGCGTGTGCTACCACACCCAGCTAATTTTTGTATTTTTAATAGAGTAGGGTTTCACTATGTTGGAAGGCTGGTCTCGAACTCCTGACCTCAGGTGATCCGCCCATCTTGGCCTCCCAAAGTGTTGGGATTACGGGTATGAGCCACCACACCCGGCCATGTGTATTTTTAATTGTGGAAAAATTGGGTGTCCAGTGCTTGGTCTTCCCTGCTCTGGGAGGCCCAGGTGACTCTGCCACAGCCTGTGTTACTCTGTGACCTGCAGGTACTGGGGGATCCACAGGGAAGACACTGGGACATCCTAGAAGCTGGGAAATCAAAAGAAGAGTGAAGAATGCAACCACACATGGATGGATGGTCTTTTCCATAACACAGTGCCTGCCTCTCAGGCTTCAATTCCAAAGAGAATCATTTACAAGTTAATTTCTGTCTCCCGGGTTGATCATTGTTCCTAACCATCACTTGCTGCCCCTCAAAGGAATTGTCTACATTCCCTATCTCCTCCTTACCCTATGAAAAAGGGTATGTCAGCTTCTGTAGCCCATTGGGAGGCTGGGAAATCACTGACTGTCCCCTGCCCCAGACATTAATACATCTGTATGCCTTTTCTTCTATTAAAAATAAGTGAAAACTGACTCACGCCTGTAATCCCAGCACTTTGGGAGGCTGAGGCGGGCGGAGCACAAGGTCAGGAGATCGAGACCATCCTCGCGAACATGGTGAAACCCTGTCTCTACTAAAAATACAAAAAAATTAGCCGGGCGTGGTGGCGGGCGCCTGTAGTCCCAGCTGCTCGGGAGGCTGAGGCAGCAGAATGGTGTGAGCCTGGGAGGTAGAGCTTGCAGTGAGCCGAGATCGCGCCACTGCACTCCAGCCTGGGTGACAGAGCGAGACTCTGTCTCAAAATAAATAAATAAATAAATAAGCAAAAACTCAGTAAGACACCATTTTACCCCACTGTATTAGCAAACCTTTAAAAATCTGACAATTTCAAGCCTTTCCAGTGAATCATAGTGTTACTGGTAGTGAATCCATAGGAGGCTGCAGTAACCTCAATTCTTTTCTTTTTTTTTTTCAAATGGAGTTTCGCTCTTTTTGCCCAGGCTGGAGTGCAATGGAGGGATCTTGGCTCACTGCAACCTCCGCCTCCTGGGTTCAAGCGATTCTCCTGCCTCAGCCTCCCACATGGCTGGGATTACAGACATGCACCGCCACTCCCGGCTAATTTTGCATTTTTTTTAGTAGAGATGGGGTTTCTCCATGTTGAGGCTGGTCTCAAACTCCTGAACTCAGGTGATCCGCCTGCCTCGGCCTCCCAAAGTGCTGGGATTACAGGCATGAGCCACCGAGCCCGGCCAGCAACCTCAATTCTTGCCTCCTCAGCAGAAATAATTTGACCAAGGGCATAATAAGGCAGAGTGAGAGCCCGAGGCCAGTTTTACAGCAGGAGTGAAAGTTTATTAAAAAACTAGTCCGGGCTCAGTGGCACATGCCTATAATCCTAGCACTTTGGGAGGCCAAGGTGGGCGGATCACTTGAGGTCAGGAGTTTGAGACCAATCTGGCCAAAATGGTGAAACCCCGTCAAACTAAAAATACAACAACAACAAAAATTAGCTGGGTGTGGCGGCGGGTGTCGGTAATCCCAGCTACTCATGAGGCTGAGGCAGGAGAATCACTTCAACACGGGAGGCGGAGGTTGCAGTGAGCTGAGATCGCGGGGCTGCACTCCAGCCTGGGCGACAGAGCAAGACTCCCTATCAAAACAACAACAACAACAACAACAACAAACTTTGGATCGAGACCAAAAGGAAGTAAAGTACACTTGGAAGAGGGCCAGGGGGCGACTTGAGAGATGAGGTGCACTGTTTGACCTTTGAGTTGGGGTTTTATCTGTTTATCTGTATCTGTTGACACAGTTCCAGGGTTTTACATCCCTTCTCCCCTGATTCTTTCCTGGGGGTGGGCTGTCCACATGTGCAGTGGTCTGCTAGCAGTTGGGCGGTGAGCATGCAGTGTGTTTACTGGAGTTGTGCGCATGCTCCCTTGAGGCATTCTTCCCCTACCAGGTGAATGTCCCCAGAAGTTAAACTCCACCGTTTTGCCTCTTAGTGTGCATGCTTGAGCCCACTCTCCCAACTCCTGAGATCTTACTGGGAAGCTGCTGATCACCAGTTTCAAGTTTTTTCTATTAGGAGACTGCCTTTCCCTGGTGCAGACTATGACCCATTATTAGAGACAGTTTAACAATTGCCTGATAGTTGGTGACATTACTGGTGGGGTGGGGGTGGGGGTCGAGCCCTCTCCTGCCCTGCTCATGCCTGACTAGCTACCTGTAACAATAGGAACTCACATACTTGTGACACAAGTTTAAATTAGTGCAACCTCTTTGGATAACAAATTGTGATGATCTATAAAGTTGGAAATGTACACCCTCTACAATCCAAGAGTTTCATCCCTGGGTATGTAATTGATAGAAATGCATGCATGGCTGGTTATAGTGGTTCATGCCTGTAATCTCAGAACTTTAGGAGTCTGAGGCAGGAGGATTGCTTGATCCCAGGAATTCGAAACCAGCCTGGGCAACATGGCAAAATCTCCCCTCTACAAAAAATTACAAAAATTAGTCAGGCATGGTGGTGCGTGCCTGTAGTCTCAGCTGCTCAAGAGGCTGAGTGGGGAGGAGCAATTGAACCCAGAAGGTCAAGGTTGCAAGGAGCTGTGATCATGCCACTGCACCCTTGCCTGGGTGACAGAGTAAGACTCTGTCTCAAAAAAAAAAAAAAAAAAAAGAAGAATAAGAAGAAATGCATGCACATGGATGTCCAAGCCAGAAAAACAAACCTGGAGACAATGGGAAATAATTTAAATGTCCATCAACAGTAGAATGTCGTAAATAAATTATGTAATAATGTGTAAATAAATTATAGAATACTTTAAAGGTAATCACATGGTTCTATTTCCTAAAGTTGGTGGATCCTACAACACAGGTGTTTGTTTCACTCTTCCTTCAAGAAGTCTTTCCAATTCCTCTGTCCCGTCCCTTGACCAGAAGTCAGAGGTGGACAAGCGCTTAAAGATCAGGAACTCACCCCTCGGCTTCACAAACAAGGGGATGAGGTAAGGAGACACATGTCAGGGCTTCCCTTGACACCCTCCTCTTTGTCTGCATAGGATGCCCTCCTCTTTTCCTTCTCAGTACCCATCTGTCAACATCCTCTTCATCTTCTAAGGCCCTTCCTCTGGATCCTTAGAGATCACCCTGGTCAATTTACCTTTTGAGAAAACAGAAGTTCAGAGAGGTTGAAGGATGAGCTTAAGGCATACAGTCACTGAGAGGCAGCCTTGGCTTTCTGGAATCTGTGCTCTCTTTATCAGCAACATCCAGGGCTAATTTATGTCTGTAGCCATAGCACACTTGAAGACAGTTACTTATAAACAGGAGGTGCTCAGTAAATGCCACCTCCTCCCTCCGGGTCTTTACTGAGTTTAAACAAGAGCTTTACAAAACTATGGCTACTTTGATGCTGCTAACATAGAAAATGACCGGCAGATGGCAGCATTTAGCTTTCCCAGCTCTCAACTTTGCAATTGCCAGTTTAAGGCGAGAAAAGTTGGTTTTTCTTTTCCGTTCTCCAGACTCTGCTTGTTGTAAGTACATGCCAAATGCCCACTGCTCCCATTGGAAGCTTCATCCTACT